TCCTCCAAACACTCTTTTTTTTTTTAATTCATTTTTCGACGTGTAGAAATATATATCTATTTCTGTTGGTTGTTATTGTACCTCGATAGACTCCAAAGGACATATCATCCACGGAGACTGGGCCAAGAGCGCACTGCTCCAGAACGCAAACACTAGCGTACACACGAATGCGCCTAGAAACCCTTCCCATGTCTTGTTGGGGCTGAGCTTTAGAAATGGCGTGGTAAAGACCCGTCTGCCGACAAGTTTGCCGCAAAAGTAGGCAAAACAGTCGTTGCATACGACGAGCGAAGCTGGAAAGAAGAGCCAGACGAGGCCTTTGCAGATGCTGTCGAGCACAAATCGCATCTGAAATACAATCAGGCACAGCGTCACAATTGTCCACGTCAGCTGGCCCATCTGGTACTTGTAATACCCTAATAAGTCGATATATTAAAGTATTCGAGTGTGTGTGTGTGGTTCGAATAAGAACGAAATTGGCAGACAATCGATATGATCGACCAATCAAAACCCAGAAGACGAATCAAGTAGCCAATCAAAAATGAATGATCCACTCTCTTGGACCAAGGCAAAAACATCGAATATTCGGTTGTGAATCAAAGTAGTGTGACACGGGTTGGATTTTGCATACAAAAGTCAAGACAAACAATCGATAGAGTTGGCAAAGAATTAGCACAAAAGTCAACCAAATTTGAAGTAAAAGGACAATAGATATATTGTCGATGATTCGATACGAATTTCCAGACCCCGTCGAATCACGAATCATCGACGCTATTGGCTAATCCAATTTGGAGTGGATGATTTGATTGGCTCTTACAGAAAGGAAACAAGTATATTCAACCAATCACAACTCCGGCGTGAATCAATATTGAGTTGACAAACCACGCGAATAATTTTGAAAGTTTATAGCGAATTCACAATTACAATAGTGTCAACTCTGTTCCAAGTTGGGGACAACTCGACAGACAATCGACCAATCAAAACCCACCACACGAATTAAGGGCCAATCAAACCCCACAAACGAGCATCAAGGGACCAATCAAATGCTCGCGCTTCCACCGTCAAAGTAGGATGGGACGTCAAATAGTTTGGGATACATATTTACATATATTAATCATAATTCACTGCCAGTACATTTAGCACAATACCATCCAACACGAGGCCAGATTTGGATAAACGAATGTAGCCAATCAGGGCAATATTATATCATCCTAATAGATCAGCTAATATTGCTAAAACAATGAATCCACACATATATATTTTTAAATACAATAGCACCCGAAGATTTAAAAGTTGGTGATAAAATATGAACTAATTGTACTATTACGTAGTAATATTGAATTTTTTTATATATAAATCAGAATCCAAAATAGGTAATAATATATCAGAAATACCTATAGGGTTGGAGGAAATCAAACATTTCAACCAATCACATCGAGCGCTGTACCTTTTTTCAAGCTGAGCACGGAAAACACAAATAGGGTCGCGTACAGGCTAAAGCTGACCCATGTGTGGTACTGCAGGTACATGCGCAGCCAGGGAAAGTCCAGTTGGTTGTGGTTCGATCGAAGGAACGTCTGGAACGAGTCGCCGTAGTTGTACAGCAACGCCACCCCAAACCAGCACCACTACACACTCGTGGCTGAGCAACGAGCTCGTGGTTTGGACGTACTTGGATGCTTCGGAACCACGGAATGTTCTTCTCCGCCGCGGCGCGGTACCGCACGTTGACAAGTTCTCGGAAGATGAGCGTCTACAAGACAAACGAGTTCGTGACAACGAACGGTACAGTCGGGCGTCACGTCGGCAGACCTGCAACACGACGACGAGCAACGTCACGTACAAATGCCCTACATCATCGAACAAGCAAGTGTAAGTGGGATTGGATAGAAACATACTATGCACCTCCATAGATGATGAGACCAAACAGCGCGATCATGGAGAAGCCTGCCACGACGCGCTTGATGACCGACAGATTCGGTTTCGCAATGTCCTCGCCGACAGGAACTCCACCATTGGCGTCCTTCTTATGCGACAGCGGAGAAGACGCATCATGCTTGGGGGATGTCGGTGTCCCCGCCTTGAAAGATGTAGCAAGCGTGTTGGGCTGCGCGCGGCGCTTCATGTGGGTGGCGTTACAAGCAGGGCGACGACGTGGTCTCAAAAGTGCTGAAGTACAGACAACAGATCGATCATTCATTGGCTGAAATACAATGGATTGTTGTGTGATCTGATTGGATAGTATCCCCTAGTAGTACTAAACACAGTCTAGTAAGTCTAGTAGGTACACTGTAGTACTGCTTTAGTATCAATACTATTAATAGTCCTCCGTATTGGACAAATTTATGGAATTCGATAAATTAAGGGTAGGGCTATGGTACAAAATGAAATGTGGTGCGCGGTCGTCCGTCAGTGCATCTTGCCGATGTTTGTCGCCGCGCTCCGTGTGACCCATCGCGACGCGCGATGGCAGAGTCGATGGACGACCGTACCCTTCTTCTCGTGGAGGTTTACGCTTACGTGAATGTCCTTGGGACTAGTCGGTTGCCGCAGCACGAGGACACAGAGTAGGCCGACGGCGAGTACAGCGAGGAGATGGAACCACAGGCTGTCAAAGACAACGCCAAACTCGCTCAGAAGGTACAGCAGACCCATGGGGGTGGTCGCCATATACATGCTGCTGCTGCTAGAGGAAGGGGAGGCTGCACTCATACCGTGGACGACGCGCATGGAGCGGCGATGGGGCGCGGCGGGAGCAGAGTGCGCATATGGGTCTGAAAAGAGGGTGAGACCAAAGACAAAGGCGCACAGGACGATGCCGGCTGCGGGGGCTGCCAACTTCGACTTGTTGAAGGACTGGACGTTCTGGTCCGAGGTGGACGTGGAGGTCGTGACGAGGGTACGCAGGAAGTGTAACTGTTCCGTGAGCGACTTGATGGTTGCGTCCCGCGCAGCTAGTTGCGCATCCCGTTCTGCCAAAAGTGCTTTCAAGTCGTTGTTCTCCCCCGCGAGGTCCGTGACTTGGTTCTTGCGGCGCATGCGGGATTTGTTCGCGCTCTCGCGGTTCTTCATGAGTCGGATTTCGTGCTTGGAGCGCTTTGATGTAGATTGAGGTAGTTCAGGTGCTTCAAGGCTGCGTTTGGTGGCGATGGGAAGGCCAATGGGCATGGCGAACGGAAGAGACAGCGCGGCGGGGACGACGGCCGGCATCCATGGGTATGCTGTCGCCACGGGGTAGGAATGACGTTGCATTGGAGATGTCGACGAGTCCGAGCATTCGCTCGAGGAAGGCGAAGACACCCCTGCGCTACTGTCGTCCGTGGTTGCGTCTGTGAAGTCGTACGACTCATTCTTGAACATGGGGAGGTCGTCGAAGATGTTGATGTCAACGTCTTCCATGATGGGATGCGTAGATGGCGGTACTCCATCGAATAGGCATGCCATGTCGTCGTCGATCAGCATCATATCCAAATGTGTCGAGTCCATGGCGCCGGGTGCGGACGGAACAAGATGAATCCAACAATACATGCGTCGCTGGAATAGCGTGGAGAATCCAGTTTCGATCTGGTCCTCTGTGATTGGCTGGTTCGAACGACCTGCATTCAGTGGCTTCAATGTATCCACCAATCAAATCACAACTCACTCACATCAACCAATCCAAATACTTTAATTTCCAATCCACCAATCAAAAGGCGACAGGTCAAATTTCTCCCTCGCCGTTACTCATCGGCAAAGGATATTTGACAATCCATCGAAATATTGAAATATATAAATATATTCGTCCTTGTAAATAGTGTGCGTTTTGTCACCGTTAAATAGTGTGCTTTACCACAAAAGTGTTGGCGCTTCAAGCATGGACCCGCCACACCACCAAGATTACAGTCGCCGTGGCGGCGGTACCGGTAGCGGCAACTATTCCGGACGTGGAGCTGGGAGATTCCATGAAGAGCGACATCAGTCATATAGAGGAGGAAGAGGTGGAGGTGGCGGACGAGGGGAGTACTCTTCTCGTGGAGGCGGCCGCGCCGGTGGACGAAACGGCGGCGGTCGGGCACCGCAGTATCAACGTGGAAATGGCGGCGATTCCGCAGGTCGTGGAGGTCGAGGAGGAGGGAGCGGACGTCAGGGCATCGATACGCCCATCGCGCTCACGGAGGAGTTTGTCCTGTACGTGTCGTCGCAGCTCAAGGCACTCCAGGACGACCCGTCTGTATCTCGTACGTCCTCCTCCATCGTCGTCGTTATTTGTCTTGTGCATGACAACGTGACCAACATAGAGCTGACGTTTCCCAGCACGCTGGACAACTCGCAGCGCCGGTACGTGCACAATGTCGCAGCCAAGCAAGGGTTTCATTCCAAGAGCACGGGCAAGAATGATGCGCGATTCATCTTCGTTACCCGCGCCAAGACCACGTCCTCCATGACGGCGGTGTCCTTGCGAGTCCCACCGACGCCGCTCGCGCTATCCGCGCCAACCTTGCACGCCATGCAGGCGTTCCTGGAAGCGTACCCAGCAGCTCCCCCCTCCTCGGGTATGCCAACACACAGCAGACGATATGACATTGTACATGTGATCATATAGTTATATATATATGCTGTAGGAATCAAGTGGAGTATGTTGTTGTGTTGTCTTTGATGTTTACATCCATATATGTTGTATACCTTTTAGTATTTATATGATGTATTTATATTTATGAAAATATTGAAATCATTTTTCTACATATATGTATGTATATTTATGAAAATATTGAAATCATTTTTTCTACATATATGCATATTTATGAAAATTTGGAAATCATTTTTCTACATATATGTATGTATATTTATGAGAATATTTAAATCATTTGTTCACGTGTGTACATAACTTCTGTACTATCTTACGCTGACAATGACGACGACTCATAGTGTATGCATGGCCTTGCACCCAACGTAGATGGATATATATATATATATATAGATGATATATCAATCTATTCGTCATCATTGTCTTATCATACCAGTACTCTAACATATCATTCCTTCCATTTCTCTTTCGTGTCCCTTGATATATATATATATATATATATATATTCATCATTATTGTCTTATCATACCAGTACTCTAACTTATCATTCCTTCCATTTCTCTTTCATGTCCCTTGATCCGATATCCTCATCTATTTACTCTTGTGAATTCGCTATAAACTTTCAAAATTATTCGCGTGGTTTGTCTATTCAATATATTGAATAATCACACCGGAGCTCTGATTGGTTGAATATACTTGTTTTCTTTCTGTAAGAGCCAATCAAATCATCCACTCCAAATTGGATTAGCCAATAGCGTCGATGATTCGTGATTCTCATTCGATTTCACGGGTCTGGAACTGAATCCACAATATTTCTATTCCTGTTGCTATCCCTCACTCTTATATATCCTCCCATCTATTATTTCGTACATAGCCAGCATCAAGGCCCCCCCTTCCCTCCCATCCTCCTCCTCGTTCTCGTCCTTCCCCAAGCTCTTCCCGCATGTGCCGTCAACTCCACACGAGTACAGCGATGGCCAGATGGGGCTGCCAGTGTTTGCCCATCGGGGGGAGATTTTGGAGCTGAGCCGACGCCACCAGGTGCTCGTCGTAGCTGGAGACACTGGCTGCGGCAAATCCACGCAAATCCCTCAATTTCTATTGGACGACGGCGCGGCCAGGGTCGTGGTGACGCAGCCGCGTCGACTTTCGGCCATGACGCTGGCGCAGCGCATTGCCGACGAGCGCCGCGTGGCGCTGGGGACGGACGTCGGCTACAGCATCCGACTGGACGCCCAGTACAGTGCCCGGCACACGCGCCTGCTCTTGTGCACCACAGGTATATATATACCAAAATATGTGAGAATTGATATGATGTTGACGACGTTGTTGTTGTTTATGATGGTGTGGTGGGGATATGTATGAGTGGTGTATGTAGATATATATATACATATATGCCTAGATGGGTTATATAATATATATGTATATATTTATAGATCACACATTTCTCGGTAACCCAAGCGAGAACCCGCGATTCCATATATATATATATATATATATATAGTGTGAGAGAGAGATTATATGTATAAATACTACGTAGTATATATTTTATATAGACTGGAAGGTTTCGCTATTCCATGATATATAATATATATATATATACAAGTTGTAGAAGGAATGCATATGTTGTGGATAGAGTATATGCTGATGTGTGAGAGGTGGATTTCTGCAGAAATAGCCTAAACTTTGTGTGTATGATCAAAGTATCTCGATATCAGTATTGATCGTTTTTTGCTTACAACAACCCCAACATGGGGTGGCTAACAAATGATCGTTTTTTGCTAAAAATGGATCGTTTTTTTGCTAAAAATTGGGCTTTTTTGCAGGCATTTTGCTCAAATGGCTGAGCTCCGACCCCACGGCCACTGCATTCACCCACATTGTGCTGGACGAAGTGCACGAGCGGGACAAACACTCTGACTTTGTGCTCATTCTGCTGCGCCTCATCCTCCCCCATCGGCCGCGTCTGCGCGTGATTCTCATGAGCGCCACCATCCAATTGGACAAATTTTCGTCTTATTTCGGCGGGTGTCCTGTCGTGACCGTCCACGGCCGTATGCATCCCGTGCTTCCGTGCTTTCTGGACGACATTTTGGTGCTGATCAACGTCGACGCAACGACACACCAACCAACGCCGCCTGCTGTCGAGGTAAAGTGGATTGGATATATATATTTATTTATTTATTTATATACAAGAAAGCATATCGACAATGTGGTGTGCCAATAGAAATATGAATGTGTTTGCATGAACGAACAGTTAGTAGTAGTTGCGAGTTGTCTATATATATATTTATCTGTAGTACAACTTGAAGAGCAAAAATAGATCTGCGATCCTTGTGGCCTGTATATGATATATATATATTGTCAAGTCGATTCGAAATTGGAGTGGGATGCTCAATTGAATGAGCAGCACCAAATCGGCAGACAATCGATCGACCAATCAAAAGCCACAACATGAATCAAGTGGCCAATCAAATCCCCTCTTGGACCATTCAACATTGAATTAGTGTGTGACTGAAATTAATGTGACACTGGACGATTTTTGCATACAAACGTCAGTACAAAGAATTGATCGACGGATTTGGCGAATCAGCCCTAACAGTAAAGTCCAAATTTGGGGTAAAAGGACAATATATATTGTATACATACACTACACACACCAAAAATGTACTGTTGTGGTATGGATATATTGATGTGTAAATATAGGAGCTTATACTGGCATATGTCTACCGGTCGGCACAGTGTTCGATGACTGATGCATCGATATATATATATATATATATATTTATGGACATAGGTCTTGCTTTTTTTACCCTATGTTTATCTTTTCGTTTATGTATATATATATCTTTGGTTGTAGTACAATGTAGAAATACACATATATATATATATATATGGATAGGTTTTGCGCTTTATACTGTATAGTTGTGTTGTCTTTCCCCAGACTATATATATATATATATATCGCTTTCATGCTAGTACAACTTGACATGTGTCATGTGCTCTGCCTCTGGGTTTGCCGACGAAGCCGCGCTGGGGACCCACGTGGCCACGTGTTTTGGGTCGGAATGGCACGCCCCAAGTCACCCCTCACTCGATTTGCCCGATCCGGATACCGGGCTAGTCTGCGACACGGTGACGCCTGGGTCATCTGTCTGCGACACGGTGGCGGCTGTTTTGGCGGCAAAACAAGCAGCGACAACGCGGTTCCAAGTGGATGCGATGGTGGCGCAGTACCAGCTGACGCAGGACGCCCTGGATGGCGGCGTGGATTCGGCGCTGGTGGTGACGCTGCTGCGTCATGTGGTCACGAGCCAATACGGTCCCGGCGCGGTGCTCGTGTTTGTGGCTGGGTGGGACGATATGGAGGCGATTTCAGAGCTCATGGCCGCCGATGCGGGTCTGATGGGGCAGATTACCCTCACCAAGCTGCACTCGAAACTGTCGGCACCAGAACAACGTCGGTAAGTGAGAGAGAGATTGTCTGCTGGAGTTGGGATCAAAGTGGATATTTGGACGAAATCAGTGTCTATATATTTATATATAGATAGATAGATAGATAGATCGTGTACGTGAACAGAGGAGGGATTGAGGGTGCGTGCGTGCTACAGTATATACCATGTTCTAGTCGTGGTTTGAGATTCGATCCAAGCTATATATATATATATATTTATGGATATATATATATATATGGATATGGACGTGTGAGTCAAATGTTGAATACTTGTGTGTGCTGCTTTGTTATATACTACCTCCAGACGGAAATAGAAGTCCCTTTTCATTCTTAGAGGTTTTTTCAGAATTAACCGGAATTAATTATTTTATAGAGTCTATTTATATGTATCCGGATACGAGTCACGATTTTATACTGATTATATTATGACCTGCATTAATTTATATTCTGTACAAAACATAGTTTAAATTGTTGCTGACTATTTGTTCATGCAGGTAGAATGCATGCAAACCACAAACATTCATAGAGTAGAACCGCCTTATCCATTAGGGTATTCATCTTTAAGGTATTATATTCCACAGGGATACGGATCATACAAAGACCTTTACAACAAGCATACTTAGGGCAAAAACAGATAACACCATCAAACAAATCACCAATTTTATTAATTTTCACCAAAAGGGACTTCTATTTCCGTCTGGAGGTAGTATATATATATATATATATATATATATATATCCATATTAATCGATGGTTTGTACGATGATTTGAGTGTTTTGGCAAAAAAACAGTGTCACACACGAAAATCGATGGGGAAGGGTTGATAATTTTCGAGTGGCCACTGGATTTTTGTGTAGTGGTTTTTAATTGTTAATCTATTTGATCGATATTTATGTATTTGATACTACGTAGTATATATATATATATATTGTCATCATTCAAGTCGAACGTGGAGTATGAACCCCAACTTGACAGACATATATATTTTATATGTACATACATATTGTCATCATACATAATATATTTTAGATCAATTTATATTTTTTTAAATCTCTTGGAGTTAGAAAAATAAGTTTATAAAATCTCAAAATTTACATATATATATATTAATACGCAACATATCGTTTTTAGAGCGTTTGGTCGCCCTCAACAAGGCACACGCAAGGTGATATTAGCCACCAATATTGCCGAAACCAGCATCACGATCGAGGACGTCGTGTATGTGATCGACACGGGCAAGTCCAAGCAGTCTTCGCTCGTCAACGGTATATAGATATATATCATATAAAAACGATGGAGTATATATATATATATATATAATATATTAGGGTACACTGCGCTGCACACAGAGTGGGTAAGCCAAGCCAATTGCGCGCAGCGAAAGGGCCGCGCCGGTCGGGTGGCTCCAGGCGTGTGCTTTCACGTCATGTCCAAAACTAGGCACGACACGTTGCCGCCGTTTATGACGCCCGAACTACTCGGTACGAATCGCATCTTGGACATGGCAAAAATTATATATATATAATATATATATATACAGTGACCGTATTCAAAGATGCAATCAATATATATATATCGATTGCATCTTTGAATACCATATAATATATATATATATATATATATATATATATATATCGATTGCATCTTTGAACCATATAATATATATATATATATATACCATATAATATATATATATATACCATATAATATATATATATTTATATCGATTGCATCTTTGAATACCATATAATTTATATATACTGTATATATATATATATATACCATATAATATATTTATATATATTTATATTTATATCGATTGCATCTTTGAATACCATATTATATATATATACTGTATATATATATACCGTATAACTATATATATATATTTATATCGATTGCATCTTTGAATACCATATAATATATATATATATCGATTGCATCTTTGAATACCATATATGTATATATATATGGATTTCAAATGCCAATCGTCGGTTTGTACATATTAAAAAGAAGTGGTGTTGAAACGTTTGAAATTCATTTCAAACGTTTGCGCTCTCCTGTGATACCAGTCTTGAACGTTTGAAATGGATTTAAAAATATCGTCTCGTATGTAGCCATCTCGTTGGACGAGATTGTATTGACGATCCAGTTGCTCCAGTACCAAGCCCACCACGCCCTCGGCTTTGACTCGATCCAAATGTTCCTTGAAATGGCGCTGGACCCGCCGCCTCGGCATGCAATTGACTCGGCTATTGCGTCACTTCAGCTTATGGGTATGTAATCAATATATATATACAAAACTCTCTTGTATTCCATCATCCTATTTTTAAAACATTTTTAAAAATATATAACACCACTCTAGGCGCCCTGGATGATACTCACGAATTGACGTATTTGGGCTGGAAATTGGCACAACTGGGGGTACCTCCTGCGATCGGCAAGATGATTCTCCTTGGACACTTTTGCCATGTATACGACCAGCTGCTCTACACGTGTTGCGCGCTAACGTTTCGCGATCCGTTTGTATCCGACATGGGGTATATATATATATGATATTATCATCTATCGTCGAATGTTGTGATTGAAAACAATGGTGTGGATATCTTTCCCTTCTGTCGATAATATAAATATCTCGTGGCTCATTAGTAGTCTGATCTATTTATTGTGGTATATTCGATACGAATTTCCAGACCCCGTCGAATCGAATCTCGCCGCTGAATCGAATCGACGCTATTGGCTAATCCATTTTTGAATGGATTTGATTGGCTCAAAAGGACAAGTATAACCTGCAAGTGATTCAATTACATACGGTGAATGAATAGATTTTTTTGTATTTCAGTTGTAATCCGTAGTCATGGATGGTACTATTCGCCTCTGTATGCTTTTAAAATTAAAAGATAGGAATAGGTTATATACTTTGTTGAATACGTATTCCTAATACTAGTAAAAAAAGGTACAAGAAAACTATAAAAGTACAATTAAATGCTTGGTGTTGCGAGGAACCCCCACACTATATCATATCATTATACTGTGCTTTTCAGTCCAATTTGCCTATTTTGGGGGATTGATATGAAATCGCACCAACTAATCGAGCAAACTTGTATATGATTGGCTACAAAGAAGAATGAAGGTTGTACTTTGATTGGCTAAATAGATTGATTGTAGTACTTTGATATGAAATTTCCAAGCTCGGGCGATCGATCGATTGATTGGTCGGCTTGTGGAGGAATTTCAGAGTCAAACAAATCTCAATACTATCTTATGTATTCACCCCCGCACGTTGCTGTAGAATGACCCCAGCTCAAAAGCAAGAGCGCAAACAAGTCAAGCGAACGCTGGGGCAAACTGTCTCGAGCGACCACCTGGTCGTCCACGCCGCCTTGCAAGGGTACATTGAACACTCCAAAGCTGCTGCGCGGTTCTGCCAGCAGAATTGGCTCGTGGCCAGCACCCTGAGCCACATCCACGGCGTGGTCAAGCAAGTTGGCCAAGAGTTCGCGGCCCTCGGCTACGGCCCGCCAGCGACGTTATGTGTAACTCCACAGCTGGCTCCTATGGCCGAAGCGGTTCTGGCTGCGGGTCTGTACCCGAACCTCATGTACAGAAGCAAAGGCACGGTGAATTTCACCACGAAAGAAAAATTCAAAGTCAAATTGAGCTCGTCCACCGTGCTCGTGTACTCCCCCAAGGTATATGCTGAATGGCTGCTTATATTTAGTCGATATGATTGATATGTAGAGTCCTCGTGTATTGGTGAAATGATCCCATATATATATATATATATCCAGTGGAGAGTTATATATATGTATGTACCCAATGATGTAGATTTGTTCTCTCGCTATGTGTATACTTGTATTTATATTATATATATATACTTGTATTTATATTATATATATATACTTGTATTTATGTATAATATATAATATATACTTGTATATATTTGGGAGAGATGTGTTGGTCGTTATATCGTTTGGTCACGTTTGTTGTGTTCGCCACCGATACACCTTGGATGCAATAATATCGGTGATATACATATACTTATATGTATCGTGGATGGATATCATATACTTCGAAGTATATTCTAATCCTCGGTGATATATATATATATATATATATATACATGCACATGTATTGTGGATACCATATACATTTATCGATATTGTGGATGCCATATACAGTATATATATACATATATAATGGAAACCTTCTTCTAAATATCTATATGTTTGTATAGAAATCCAACGACCAATATGGTCTGGACTGGGTTTGTTTCCATGACATGATGCAGTCCGACCGCGTGCGCGTGGCCCAAGTCGCGACCAAAGTGTCAGCGTTTGCCATGGCTCTACTCGTGGGCCACCACGCCATCGTAGACGACTCGACTCACACTATTTCTGACTCGACTCACACTATTTCACCTGAGCCCGCCACCAACCAGGTAATACATACAGCTCCCCTTGGTTCAAGTCTATGACGTGGCATCGTATGGGGCAGGTCCTCGTGGTAATTGACGACTGGATCGTCCTATCGATGGATGGACAAGAGGCTGAGATGGTGCTGGCACTTCGCCAGAGGTTTCACGAGGCTTTTCTGAGGCATTTGCACCACGACCAATCGGCAGCCGACCACGACTTGCACCTTGTGACGGCTGCCATGCACTGGATTGGAGGCGAATCGGCCACGGATTCCTAATACAAAATGCGGCTAGCCAAGTTAGAACAACGTATACTAACTACTAGTAGTACATACTAGTAGTAATGAATGTCTACCCATTTGACACATCGAAACGTACACATATTTTGAGTAGCACTGTACGTAGTGTACTTACTGTACACGTTGAGGATAAATGGAGGACAAGGGCGAATACAGTACTATGAAGAAAGTTACTACAAAAATCCGTTCTACGCCCCTTGATCACACTCGTCCTACTGTTCACAGCCATAACTATGTAAGGTAACAAAGCATCGAATTCTCGGACAGAATCAATTTCTCGCAATAAAATAAACATAAATATTTTTATTCCACAATACAGAAATCAAGATAAAATCGCTGTCCGAGAAATAGAAAATCACAAACTTTCATTCCGACGTTTACGACTGCTCCCTATAATCCTAACTTTATATTCAGTTGTTTTATGATCAAAAAGGAATTATAAAATAGTGCTCGAATTATATTTTCCTCATATGCCGTCAGATTACGAAATTAGGCATGACAACGCAAAAAGTCTTCGCGAATTCGATGCGTTACCTTAGAATGGTTGTTGCTGTGAAAACTTTTACAATAGTATTCTATGAGCAACTATCTTTTGCCATCGTCTATATTACGCCCCCATTCAACAAGTACTAGCACACATGAAAGGTTATACATTGATGGCAGATACTCTTTCCCTCATCCTACTCCTACACCGTTCAATCCACTTCTTCAATCTTGGGGCCCGCGCCGCCGCCGGCACCTGAGCCTGAAGGGGGCGCCGATCCCCCTGGCATCCCCCCCACATCCCCTCCGCTTCCACTCGCATACAACTTCTGCATAATCGGGTTGGCCACGCTCTCCAGTTCTTGTTGCTTGGCCTCAAACTCGTCCTTTTCCGCCGCCAAGTTGCGGTCCATCCACGCAATCGTGTCGGCCACCTTGTCCTCGAGCGTCTTCTTGTCGGCCGGGTCCACAGCGCCTTTGATCTTGTCGTCGTTGAGCGTGTTGCGCAGGCTGTACGCATAATTTTCAAGGCCGTTCTTGGCCTCAATGCGCGCGCGATTTTTTTCGTCTTCAGCCTTGTATTTTTCCGCATCGTTCACCATGCGGTCAATCTCGTCCTTGGACAGGCGGCCCTTGTCGTTCGTGATCGTAATCTTGTTCTCCTTGCCCGTCGACTTTTCGACCGCCGACACGTTCAAAATCCCATTCGCGTCAATGTCAAACGTCACGTCCACTTGAGGCATGCCCCGGGGCATGGGGGGCAGCCCGTCCAGGCTAAACTTGCCCAGCAAATTGTTGTCCTTTGTCATCACGCGCTCACCCTCAAACACTTGAATCAGCACGCCAGGCTGGTTGTCCGCGTACGTGGAAAACGTCTGCGACTTCTTAGTCGGCACCGTCGTGTTGCGCGCAATCAGCGTCGTCATCACCCCCCCGGCAGTCTCGAGCCCCAGCGACAACGGTGTCACATCCAACAACAGCAAGTCCTGCAGCTTTTGGGACCCGCTCGTGCCACTCAAGATGGCCGCCTGCACCGTCGCCCCAAACGCAACGGCTTCGTCCGGATTGATCGACTTGTACAGCTCCTTACCGTTGAAAAAGTCACTCAGCAACTGCTGCACCTTGGGGATGCGAGTCGACCCGCCCACGAGCACTACCTCATTCACTTGGTTCTTCGACAGCTTGGCGTCGCGCAGCACCGTTTCCACCGGCCCCATCGTCTTGCGAAAGTAGTCGCTGCACAAATCTTCAAACCGTGCACGCGTGATTGTCGTGTTGTAGTCAATCCCGTCAAACAGCGAGTCAATCTCAAGGTGGGCTTGCGTCGACGACGACAGCGTTCGCTTCGCGCGCTCGCTGGCCGTGCGCAGGCGGCGCAAGGCGCGCTGGTTCGTCTTCATGTCCTTGCGGTACTTCCGCTTAAACTCATCCACAAAGTGGTCTACGAGGCGGTTGTCAAAGTCCTCGCCGCCCAAATGCGTGTCCCCCGCCGTCGCCTTGACCTCGAAAATACCCTCCTCGATAGTAAGCAAAGACACATCAAACGTGCCGCCCCCCAAGTCGAAAATTAGCACGTTGTGCTCGCCCCCTTTTTTGTCCAGCCCGTACGCAATGGCCGCGGCAGTGGGTTCGTTGATGATGCGCATGACAGTCAAGCCGGCAATCGCCCCCGCGTCCTTGGTCGCTTGGCGTTGCGAGTCGTTGAAGTATGCCGGCACCGTAATCACCGCGTTCTGCACGTCCAACCCGAGGTACGCCTCGGCCACCTCCTTCATCTTGATCAGCACCATCGACGAAATCTCCTCTGGCTGAAACGTCTTGCGCTCACCCTTGAACTCGACCACAATCTGGGGCTTGTCCCCCGCCCCCGCAATCACCTTGAACGGCCAGTGCTTGATGTCGGCTTGGATCATGGGATCGTTAAACTTGCGTCCAATCAGCCGCTTCGCATCGAACACCGTGTTCGACGGGTTCATTGCCACCTGGTTCTTGGCGGCATCTCCGATCAGGCGCTCCGTGTCCGTGAAGGCCACATACGAAGGCGTGGTGCGGTTGCCCTGGTCGTTTGCGATGATTTCCACGCGGTCGTTCTGCCAAGTCCCCACGCACGAGTACGTCGTGCCCAAGTCGATCCCGACGCTTTGCTCGGGTTTCGTTGCCATGGTGAAGATTGTTGCTTGTGTTTAGCTCGACTTATCGAATTGAATTCTGCACCAAGATCGCCAGCCAGCTTTTGGTGACCGTTACAATGTTGAACAGGAACGTTCGAGATCTTGCGGTTTGTATGGTGACATATCACCGTTACCTCGCTTTTACGACATTATTCCAGTGAGAGAGCTTAGCTAGCTACCTGTTGCCTCGGATATGTATGTATTCTCGCTTTTGGAACCCAACTGCCACAGCCACTGTAACAAGGACGGGTCGCTCGCCTCTGTTCGAGAACATTCGCCACCAATTATTGGGGGCGTTCGTTCATCCTGTTTAAACGTTAGCTACCGTTTACCAACGGAAAGAACTGTTGCTTTTTGTTAAATTTCGCCACCCAGTGGCTTTCTTTAGATTGGATATACACTGCCATGGCGGCTTTGCTTCGTCCCTCGAGCACGGCCAAACCATTGACCTGACCAAGTTGCCAGCAGGAACAAAGTACTACTGGAGGTGCTTGGTTTCACTGCCAACCGTAACAACAATATGCACCACCTGCTAACTGCTATATGTACTATACATTCATCATGATAAGGTCAGTCCCCCCCAAATCCGAGCTCAACAGTATTTCGGATTAACTTAAAAAAAAAAAAAAATTCTAATAAAAAATATTTAGTTTAGAAAAAATAAGTAAAGTTACCTAAATAAAAATCTATTTTAATATATTATACTACATAGTAAGATTTAAATTTTATAGAAAAATTATTTACTCTACTTTAAAATGCACTACGTAGTACTCCATAGTACTGCGGAGTACCCTTCTACTTTGTGTTAGAGAAGGGGTAATTCTGTGAGTCCTTGCACTTGAAGTACAGGGACTGCGACGTACTTCTAATCCATATAAGTACGATTCGTACATAAACGGGCTGGTCTTCTGGATACTACGTCAAGTAGTACAGTATAAACCTACCGTATACTTCTCTGTCCAACAAGAATTGTCACATTTGGTAAAAAATCAAATTTTTATGAATGAATAATTCTGATTGGTGCAAATCGTAGATTTTGATTCAGGCTACATTTCTAGACTTTAGACTTTTTGACTGAAAATATTCGACATCGTTCAAAGATATGGGGTGACAAACTTTTTTATTACAGATTTTAGGAAATCAAAGACTCGCCAGCCTCACAAAATCCACGTTAACATCGTTAAAACCGTACGTTCATGTTGTTGCTACAGGGAACGACGCTGAGTAACGGCGTGATGAGGACTTGTGATTGGACAGAGAGGCGGTTCGAATTGGCCAATTGAGGATCACAAAACCAAAATATAAAAAAAGTATCGAATGAAAAAATGAGCTGTGAATATAAGATTACAAAGGATATAAATATAAAGCGTAATTAGTACTAGGAAGACATCGATGCCATGGTTTTCAAGTTCTCATTCTTGCAGGAAACTAATTATCACAAGGGATCAAGGTCTAACGTTACACATAATGCGCGACACATATAGTGTGTGGATTTGCACCTCCCATGGGGACCAACAAAATGTGACTTGACCGCTTATAAAAATACTATAATTTAATACTCTATTCAAGTAAAGAAAAAAAGTATACGG